ACAATTTCCAACAGTAATTTTTTGAAACAACTAAAACCTAAAACTAGAAGTAATAAAGCCACTTGCTCGTTAGTTCACAGACTGTTTTGATAGATGGCAAGATTCGCGGTTACAGTTCTGTACAGATGCAGACTGGAAAAAAAAAAAAAAAAAGGAACATCTGGCTTGTGACAAGGGTTACACTGCCACTTCCCAGCTTCAGACACCAGCCAGGTAAGAGAGGAGGAGAAGCACGCTGACACAAAAGAGCTGTGAAGCTCTTACGGACTGCGAGCAGCTGCAGCAGCACAGGATTCGGGTCTCCTGGACACTACTGGTAGCTACATCTGGAGAGATAATCACAGAAACCATTACCATAAGGTTACGGCCTTTCATTTCAGTTTAGGTACAGCGCCTGCAAAAGTCAAATACCATCAATTAAAAGCCATGTTAGAAGGCGTATGCCCAGACAACACCTACTGATGGATTTCAGATTAACATTCACAGTTCTTGCTTTACTCATGAGCCTATTGGCAGTTACTAAGATCACGAGGGCCAAAAGAACGTTAATTTTGTTAAAAACCCCAAGAACTAAGTACGTCTTTCTTCAAACATGAAGGGAAAAACGACTGTGCTTATTTTGCAGAGCATTGAAATCCTTCTGAAGTTTAAGCAGCATTTTGTTTTCTAAATCTAGTTCTTTAACGTATCTGTCTCCTCCCATTGAATCCATATCAGATGCAGTTTGCAATCTTAGATGAAATTCCAGTTTTGTAACTACGGTAGTTGACACTGCAACCAGAAATCTGCAAACAGCAGGTTTAAACCTGGAAAATATTTCTGGTAGCTAGGAAAAAAAAAGAGTGCTTAGAGACATTCATCTTCAAAAAATTGAATTAATTTAGGGGAACATCTCATTAAAAGTAAAACTGACATGTTCTTAAATTTCCATTTCAAACACTGATGCCCAATCTCAGCATTATCGCGCACAAACTTGAAATGAGTTATTTATCATCTGTCTTAATTGGGAAGGAGATAGAAGAACCAGACAGGTTCCAGGCAGTGCCAAGACTGCTTGAAGATGCCTGAAGAGAAAGGCTGGGACAGAGAAAGATTGATTTCCATCCCAGTCATAATAAACCAGAAAGAAAGGAAGAATATTTCTCTGCTTAGCATTTATACTAGAAAACAAGACATACAGCTGGCACAACTACAGAACGTATATCAACGTGCTGGTCAAAACTGAACACGAACTCTTGCAAAAGCGAGAGTATGTGGTAAATTCATTCGAGTCAATAAGACAAAGTCTATGAAAATCAGGGTAGTATAGTGCAGAAGCAAAACAGCAGAACTGTTTGTGCTGCTTTAAAACCGGCTCTTCCACAGTCTGAGAACAGAGCGACTTTGACCAAAGGTCATGTTTAAGGAGTATGCACCACCCTTGCCAGTCACTCCTGCAGATGTACTGACACAGGTATTGCTGCAGCATGAAGTGAACCAGGGTATGCCTAAATCTTTTCGTTTGTTTTACATTTCCTACCTTAGATACATTCAGATACTGCAATGCGCGGCACTCAGAGAAGCTCTTTTAGCAGACAACGCAACTAAAGTTCCTGCACCACGAGACCAATTCTTCAAACTCAGAAGCTCTCCTGGACAGCACACATTCATGTTTCTGGCCAGTCTCTAACTGGATTTGGAAACAGCCTTCCCACCCCACTCTCAAGGCAGGGCTGCCTTGAGCATCACCTCAATCCCCTCACCTGATTCCTGTTCCAACACTTCTTATCGCACCACCACTATGCTAGAGCAAGGAGTAAATGGGCCTGCATGGAGAAACAAACAAGAAAGCAGTGAAGTAGCCTAAAATAGATATGGTTCGACAAAAAAGTTGAAAGAAGCAGAAGGAATGATTTTAGCTGGATCAAACCCCAACTTGTTCTCAGCACTACGAATAGCAGAGGACAACACTCTAGTGCAGGAGCAGGAAACACCTCCAGCCTGTAACTGCGGTTGATGGCTTTATCAGAAGAAACCACTGGATATATTTAAGCATGCAGTGTATTTTAAAATCAACTGCACAAACCTGTTTCATAGGAGATGCGTGCAAATATCCACTGCTGGACCTTGACTGTCCTGAGACAGCACTGGGTAATACCTGAGTTAGAAAGAACTCATTTGCCCCTTCCTCACACCTGTTTCTGAGGGGTATAATGACAATACTCAGTACCATTCAATTTACTATGCAGTCACAAAAGCAAATTGATCTGCCACTCTTCTGTATCATCTAACCTTGCTGTAAATAGTCTTGCTTATAGACTGATGCAAACACATCCATTTATACCAAGCATAACAGGTAACATAAGCAGCAGAGTTTCTGTTCCTCCATAGAGACAACAGCTTTACAAAATGTTTTGCTTTTGTCTTTTTCCATATTTTTTCCTCTTCTTCCCCTCAAATTGTGAACGTTATTTTATAAGCCACAACTGTAAGGATTGTGAGAATCTTCCCAGATTCATTTCAGCTTCTGGAAGAGAAAGAAGCCAAAGCCTTTCTATCTTCTCTTAATAATCACGCCTTAGGAGGAGATCTGCTTCTGACAGACTGCATGTGTTTTTTGCTATGCCAAGCAGCACAATGCAAGATATCCAAGACTGCTCATTGAATTCAGTTTATTTCAGTCAAATGACTTCTCCCCCTAGTTATTTTTAAACATTGGAAAGCCAGAATTTGGCACCAGCTTAAATGCTGAGACACCCGTTAGGCTCAAGGCTTCCATGATGCGAGTAAATAAAAATTTTGCTTAAGTTTACCCTCAGAATTCTTTGCATTCTTTCAGTTTTTATCAGTCCTTTTGTGAGCAGTAGCTTCTCTAGCAAGAAGAGAAGTGAGCTTTTGTTTGACTTAGCTTTTTTTTTTTTTCTGCTGGAGTGTCCTTCTGTACTTGGAGATAAGGCTGCAGTTATAAAGCATGACACCTACTGCAAGACGCAGTCTTTTATTGCTTCAACATGAAAGGTGTCTCAGGAAATCCCATACAATCCTCATATTCATACCAACTCAAACTGTAGCTCTGCGGGGTGAAATAGCAGCAGTTTTTGGCAGGTCATGCCCAAAGGTTCATATGATGGATTTACACATTGAGATGACCTTGTCTTCACACCTGAAAGTGTATACTACAACATATATATAGTAAAATGAATTGTTTGGACAAATACTTATGAACACATCTTCAGCATGCCAGAGACTACAAGACAGTGTGTGTTATCAGCATATACAGTTCGGTAGACATTTCTTACTTGCCTCATGAAGTAAGGTGCTATTTATTCAGATCATGTGCTGCTAAACATCCCAGAGCTGGCCTGTCAGATTTAACAACTTTAAATCAGCTGAAAGATTTCTCAAATAAACTCTTCCTCGTCCTCCTCAATGTTCAAGCTTTTTCAGTCTAATGGAGCAGGGCACGGGGGAGGAAAGGAGGGCATATGCCTGAATTTTATCAAGTTCTACAGATGCATGCACACACATGCATTTCTGATTTCACATCGTGTTTCTGAACACATCTGTGCTTTAGGAAGTGCCATGTATTTCTAAAGACTAGCAGCACAAGCCAACTCCTTGGAAAATCAAGAGGAGTCCAAAGTTTTTAAAAAGATGGTCAAACTTAATGCCACTGAGAGGAACAGACCCGCATCAGACCCTCACCCGAGCAGGGCTCGTGCAGGCAACGACAGACAGAGAGCAGGCAGTTCAGTTCAGTATTGCCAAACAAATCCCCAACTTCTCAAGTAACACAGAGAACCCTTATACCTAAAGGAATGAAGCCCCTCCTTCTGCGGAAGGGTGAAAACGTGTAATTTCAAGCAGCAGCCGTACAGCTATACCGTAACGCCAAGCTCCACGAGGGCACTGAATAGTAAAACAGAAAGAGGAACAACACTTTTTCATCCATTAACGCAGGGCTTCTGAAGGTGGCTTGCCATTGACAGAACAGCCAGCAATCTTTGAAATACAACCTTTATAATCTTTTTGCAGAAAAAGGCTAAGTACTTATAAAGTTTATTTCCAATACCGATCGATCTGGTGTTTCTTTTAGATTACATACTCGATGCAGTCTCTACAATACTTTTAAAAAAAACAACCACACCCTAAGAAACTTCCAAAAAGTCAATGAAAACTGATTAAATCGGGACTATATTTAAGTAAACTTAACTATTTTCCTTTTTCTCTCAACCTGTCCAGGAAAGGCATGCAATCAGCACGTTTCAAACTCAAAGTTCTCCACCAATTTCAAACGTCAATAAAAAGTCAAGAGATTTAACATTAAAAGACTGAAGAAAAGTTCTCATTTACTAAACGAAAAGGAGAAACAAAGCAGAAAAAAATAATTAAAAAGCCTGTAAGTCTGTTGCTGGTTTGGGTGCAACTTGAAATACCAGACCCAAGTTTTGGAGGTGAATGAGGGCAGAGAGGGCCGTGCTTCTCTGAAGGAGAAGCAAATCTGTGTTGCCCACGTGGGCAGCGATCTGTGTCGTGGCACAGCTGCTGGCTTACCTGCTCGGCCAGAGCCCAAAAGCCTCGGGTATCGCAGCACTATGCTCCTCTACACTCTATTACTTCTCCATATGCTCTCCCCACTGCTGGCTCTATAACAGAGTGGGAAGGATGACCGGTGGGAAGGGTAATTAGGAAAGTAAGTTAACAGCATATGCTCACCTGGGTGTCCCAAATGTGTGCGGAGACAGCACTACCAGGTTACATTTATACTGGAGCAGAAAAAGCTTTTTTCTTTTTTTGGTCCTCAACACTTGGGCACCCCCTGAGCCCGCCACCACCCTCTGCGCCCCACCACCCGCAGCGGGGCGAGCGCTGAGGTGGCACTGCCACAAAGCCAGCAGGAAGGAAGGAAGGGGAAAAAGAAAAAAGGGGGGGTGTCAAGGTATCACTCCCCATCCCCAGGAACCCGAAACAAGCCCGTGGCCGGGCAGGGGCAGGGGCAGGGGCTGCAGCCGGTCGCCCACCTGCACGCCGGGGAAGGCGGCTTGCAGCAGGTGGTACATCTTGCGGTTGGACAGGAGGTCTCCGCTCGTCAGCTTCTCCTCGGCTCCCTCGCGGGTCTTCCCCTTCGCCTTCTCGTTGAGGACGTTGCCCTCGCGGACCCGCTTCACCTCCTCGCCGCCCCGCACGGCGGCCAGCACGGAGACGGCCAGCAGCTCCCGCAGGTCCACGGCGGCCGCGGAGCCGCGGGGAGGGGGCTCGGCCCCGCCGGCCGCCGGCTCGCTCAGCATGAAGAAGGCGAAGCGGCCGGCCAGGAAGCCGGAGTAGAGGTGGTAGAGGACGCCGAGCCCCAGCAGGCAGAACACGGCCATGCCGAGCGGCGACAGGCGGATCCCCATGGGCGCCATGGCCGGCGGGGAGGGGGAGCGGGAGCGGGAGCGGAGCAGGCGGGCGCTCAGCGCGGCCCCATGGCTCCGCTCCCTGCGCTCGGCGGGGCCGGCCGGCTCCGCACCGCGGCGGGCAGGCGGCGCCCGTCTGTATCCGGGTCAGGCGGAGGCGGGGCGGCGCTGAGCGCACTGAGCATGGCCCGAAGGGACGGGGGGGACCGGGGGCAAGCGGAGGGGACCGGGGGGGAGCGGGCTAGAGCCGGGCATGGGACCTCCGGGTGGGTCCCGGTGGGTGCTCCCCGCCCGCAGCCCGGAGCATGATGGCGCGCAGGGGGCCTGAGGCGAGCCTGTGAGAGGAGCGCACTACGGCTCCTCGCTGCCATCCCGTGTGCCTTCTGTATTTATGTATTTATTGATTTAAGCTGCTGTGCGCAAAAGAAGTGAAAGCTCAGACCCCAATAAAGGTTGTCTTTGGAGACTGAAGCTGTCATATCGTCGCTGTCTCTGCGCTTCCATTTCACTGGCATCGCCGTCACACAGGTGGCAAACATCAGCATCCCACCCTCTGCGAGGGGCAGAGGCTACAAATGAAGGAAAGGAGCAAATACTGCATTTAGTTTGAAATGGGATTCCAGAGAGCTGGGTTTTACTCTTAACCTATGCCAGGATTTAACTTTCTATGCTATTAGAACATCCTCGTTTTCCACCTTTCCATGCTCTTCAAGATTTTTCTTCATGCAGTCTCTTGTCTGTCAGAGGAGGGGCATTAAGTACATACCACTCATTTTCCGTTCATTGATTTCATGCTTCAGCATTTCATGTAGTAATAACGAAGGGTAATAAACTATGCAGCAACACCGTGGGTGTATGATAAAGAGTAAACTTGTGCCTGCAATGAGCAGTGAGCGTGAGGCTAACGAAGCAGGCGTGCTCGCAATTTGTCTCCTTTTTAAAAATGCTGGGCAAAGCAGCCAGCAGCTCTGCCGTACGATGCGGTCAGTAACAGTTCGCATGGTCAGTGAAGAGGAATTTCCAACGATGGATGGAGGAAACAGGAGAAGGAGACAACCTGTCACTGTTTTAAATTGAAACTTTCTGAGCTGGTTTCGTACTTAATGGAAAGAAAGTAAAATACACAGCCTTTTAACCCACTGAATTGGCAAAGACCTTCCAGAGGCATAGAAAAGTAAAGGATTTATTATTTGCTGCAAAGGTTTCTATGCCTGCAATAAATATAGCTTGTAAATATTGGCGGCAATGTAAACTGTGAAGTGGACAATGCATAGAGGGCTCTTTATTTCCATGGCAGTGTATGTACTGCTGGCCTCTGCTGGCCTTCCGAATTCACCATGTCTGTCGCTGAGCACAGTCGTGCAACCAACAGACCATCTGCTGGCATCCTTTTTCTCTGTAACAATCATATTCTGTAATTACAGACATAATTTTTCAAAGGTGTTAATTTCGCACATCCCATGCCACCCTCTGAAGATCCCTGGCTTGGGTTCCTCATGTTTCTCCAGGGTGCCGTTCACACCAGCTGGCCTCCAGAACACAGCAGAGATCTCTGCAAAATGCTCCTGGCCTGGCAGCTTGTCTTAACATTTTCAACCTGTAAGATGGGTTTCTAGAGACCATGATGAAGGCAGAAACTGTTGATAAACTTGAAAAATGTTTTGGTTTATTTGTAGCAAAATGAGCTTTATCCCTTTATATGAAGGGTAAAGAAAAAAAAATATGGAAATGTTCCTTTTGAAACTATAAAAAGATTCTTTGGGACACTAATTCTGGGCCAAATAATTTGACACAATAAAACAAACAAACAAACAAACAAAAACTAGTTTTACTTAAATCAAATCAAGTTTTTAAACAAACACGTGATTTTGACAGGAAAAGTATTTCCACTGAAAGGAAGTGTTTCATAAGTGAGTGAAAAAAGATGCTCTAACTAGAGTGGAGCTGAGGATGCAAGTCTCAGATATATAGATATATATATAGATATATACACTTATGGGAACTGTGTCAGCTGCAGTCTTAGGAGTCAGCTTCATGTGGAGGCAGCCCTGACCTTGATGACCGAAACAACACGCTGATGAGCTAAAAGCAATGGGCCCCTTTAGCCTCCCACAGACACAGTTGCTGTAGAAGGGCTCAGCAGAGCTTCTCGAATGGGTTGCAGCGTGCTGGGAGTGAAATGCGCTGCTTTCTGTTTAATTCATCTAGCAGGGGCTGTGCGTGACACAGAGGCAATGAGGATATAATGCAGTCTGACTCCCAGGGCTTTTGGAGGGCGATGTTTGTGCTGTTCACTACCACAGTGACGAGGCGAGTGGTGGTGACTTTGGTCATGCTTGGAGCGAGGGAGGCTGACAAATGAAATGGCCACTTGCTGGTAGGGAAAAGGCATTGACAAAAGTGTCCTGAGCACCCCTGTGGGGAGCCCTGAGGAGCACAACGAAGAGGGCTGTGTATGTACTGTGAACCCCTGACTATTGCCAGGAGCAGAAGGAGAGGGCCGTGACCATACACAAAGCTCTGGTTTATGTGATAGCTGTGTGCAGAGCGTTCCAGAGCACAGGGAGATTTGTGTGTCCAAATTATAGTCTGTGGTAAGAATGTATACACCTAGAGAGCTCCTATCCTTCTCCAGACTGGCAGCTTATTGTCAACAGCACTGTAAGCTGTAGTATATTGCCACAGCTGCTTTGCCAGCATCAGCGCTGACTCATGTGGAAAAGCAGGCGATGCCCGCATCTTCCACAGCTCCAGCCATGCGAGCAGGTTAACAGGGTCTGTTGACAGCCACAGAAGTGCTGTGTTGCTGGTCATTTCTCCGTGACTCCTGCCTAACCCCAGTGGTTTACAAAGTCACTCATGGGCAGCCCCGCTGAGTGTTCGTTTTTTGTGCCTGCAGCTGCAGCGTGCCAGTGGAGTGTCTGTTCAGCCATCTGAAGAAACGATGGGTTGTCCCTCAGGGCCAGAGCTGAGTTTGATCTGCAGTGCATGAAAAAGATCTGCTGTGCCTGTGCTTCTGAGAGGCCATGAAAGAGCAGATGGCTGTTGGATGGGACCAAAGGACCCGAGGGGAACCTGCTATGCAAGCGCGAGCACAGCTGCAGCCACTTCACTCGCCTCTGAGAGCTGGAAGATAGTCCATGAAGGCAGCCCATAGTCACTATTTAGTGTCAAGTCTTGTGTAGTGTGGGGAAATTTTCTCTTGCATAGAACATTTGATTGGCACAGAGTGTGTATGGGGAGCTCTGACTAGTCATTGTTGGGTTTATATAATTGGCTTCTTCCTTCTTTTCCTCTCCTTTCTTTTGCCCTCATATTTCGAGTTCTTGCCAAGTAATTTTGCTTGTAATGTTACCTCACCCAATCTTGTTTGCAGTAGCAGCCCCAGGTATAGTTAGCTCTTTCTTCTATCCTGGCTGTCTCTGAGGGATGAGAACCTCAGGAGGGTTATGCAGAGATGTACTAAACTCAAGGATATTTTTTAAGGTCTTTATGTAAAGTAGCATGTAAAATAAAAGCAGAATGCTTCATGGTTTTTGAAGCGTGAAGGTGGAGAAAACAGCGAAGAATAGGTATGTCTCTGTTTTACAGGGCATCCCAAAGAGAGATGGGCTAACACTTCTGCTGTGCCTTTTACTACCCTCTCTTCCTCAACAAAACCACGAAGTGCTTAGAGGTTTGCATAGGAGAATTTTCATGGTGCAGGACTATGGGACAGTTGTTAAATGCATGGGACCAGCTGCAGAACTAATCTGAATGAATGAGTGATGAAAACAACATGGCTGGGCACTGCTGGAGGTGAAGCATACCGGTTGTCGTGTTAGGTCATTGCATTGGTTAAATGCCCGAGGCCTGGCTGCAATCCCAGAAGACAAGAGAAAATGACTATGTTAGGAAAGGTCTCACAGAGTGAATTTCTTATCTGGTCTTGATCTGGGATCCAACCTGAGGTGCTGTAGGAACTGAAGAATTCCTAGGTTACTGTAGCCCAACCTTTCTCAAAGATTTTATCCCCATAGCATTGTGGTCCATGGCTATGGATGCTTCCTTTTCCTTAGTGGAGAAGAAATGCATCCAAATCCAAATAAAGGAAAGAGCCATAATCTGTGCTGCATGTGGGAATTACATCTCAGTTCCTCACCAGGACAGGATCCAGCTCCTGGAGCTTGCAGCAGGTCACACTGCCAGAACTAGAGCTGTTATGGACATTCATGGTCCCCTGGCACACGCTCTTCAGAGCCTGTCTCCTTGTATTGCTCCAGGTCCAGTTAGCGCTGATACTGAGATGCTCAGCCAGAAGCAGTGCAGTAAAGCTCTTCACTGTCTGATGGGCAGGAGAGATTGCTCTGCCCTCCTGCCTGCTCGCTCCTGTGCATCTCTGTGTGCTGAGCTGTGACCAGGGAGAGCTGCCTACGGCAATGCTGGCTCTGAACTATGGCTTGGTTCTGACTTGGTGGCAATGCTGAGAGTATTAAATACAATACCTGTGGTTCAGGAAAGGGACTGAGGAAAAGCAGAATGTGTCCAAAGCAAAAGACAGATGCAAAGTTGTATTGGGTTTATGTGACAAGGCTTGAGTAGTGGCGGGCTGCAGAGGTGACCTCTGAGAAGTGTCCAGCAACTGCCCCATGTTAGATAAGGGACAGTTTCAGCTGGCTCCAAAACAGACTCACTGCTGGCCAAAGCTGAGCCATGAAGTGATTTTTTTTTGCGCCTCTGGGAGAACAGATTTAAGGAAGGGGTGAAAAATATGCTCTGCTACAGCAGCTGGGAGACAGAGGCAAGAACCAGCCCTGCACTCCCCCAGGTCAGTGCAGCAGGAGGGCAGGAGGTGCTCCGGGCAGGAGGTGCTCCAGGCAGGCAGCAGCAGTTCCCCTGCCCTTGGTGGAGCAGGCTGTCCCCCTGCAGCCCATGGGTCCCACATGGAGCAGATCTCCACACTGCAGCCCCCCCATGGGTGGAGGAGCCCCCGGTGGAGCAGGTGGATGTGGCCTGGAGGAGGCTGCGGCCCATGGAGAGCCCCCGCAGGAGCAGGCCCCAGGCCGGAGCTGCAGCCCGTGGAGAGGAGCCCACACAGGAGCAGGGGGTCTGGGGGGAGCTGCCGCCCACCCGTGGGGGACCCGTGCTGGAGCAGTTTGCTCCTGGGGGA